ACAGGCAAAGGATGCATGACATTGTCCTCGCCACACCACTCTGGAAATGTGAAAGAGACAAAAATGTGGCAGATGCATCTGGCCATGTTCTACCAGGAAGTTCATTCTCATTTTGCACATTTCGAGAGTGGTGTGGCGATGCCCATTGACATGTCCGCCGTCGATTTTGGATGGACTGTTATAGGCAGCACCACCTCATCCGGATTGTACGCGGGCCAGATATTGGCCAAATATCTACCCAGATTTGGGCGTCGCAGTCCTGATTTGTTTGTCTACTGTCATCCTGGCCTCGCCTGTCGTTTGAGAGAGGTGCAGGAGTAGAGGAGAGTGCGCACAGAGGACTGCACGCTGACGCCAGGAAAAACAACGAACAAACGCTCACGGTGATCCTCCCAGAAAAAAAGTAGAGAGACGACCGAAGGGTCGGAGTTTAGAGGGGCCTTGTACAAGGGCTTTTTCCAACAAAAAAAAGGGTCGGAGTTTATCATAGACGCGCCGAAACACACACACACACACACACACACACACACACACACACACAGATATCACACACACCTTGTAGATCAGATCAAGAGATCAAACCCCATCACGTACGATAGCTCACAGCTTCAACCATTTAAGAAAAGAACACAAAAACAAAACAGGAAAAAGAACCCAAGAGCCTAGCTCAGTGGGTACACCCATGAACTGTTGAAATATGAATCAGACCTGAGTTCGAATCCAGCTGATGATGGAACTTGATTGATGAGTACAACCAAATATTTCTGAATTGCCTGGGGCCGGTCAGCTCAAAGATGATATCTCAAGACCGTCGCCCTCTTCGAATGAAAAAACAAAACAAAAAAACAGGAAAAAGAATTTGTACACGCGGATCGAGGTCCCAGTTAGCCCCACTGGTACGACTGGCCATCATCATCCTGTTTTTTTTTTTTTTTTTTTCTTTTTTTCCCTCTTCAAATAAATGGATCCAGGACGAAGACTCCACGCAAGCAGGACTGGTACTGACTGTCTCAGTTTGCCCGTCAAAGGAAGCTGCACGCCAAAATAACAAAGAGGTGCAGAGAGGGGGGAAAAAAAAAAAAAAAAAAAAGGTGCAGAGAGAGAAGGATTGAGATCTCACTTATTAGTTGTCAGCCACGGTAGTGTGAAGAGATGGAGATGGTTGAGCTGTGATGGAGATGGTTGAGCTGTGTTGGCAGTGGTGCCTCCGTGTATTCTTGTTTGGATTCTGTTGTACTACCCTCTTCCCCCGAACATAACGCACCCTAAAAATGAAAAATGAATGTACACAAGCTATATTTCCGGCCAGATACAGCCACAATAAGGGTGCGTTGTGTTCGGGGGAAGACGGTAGTAGTAGTTATTGTTCGCGCTTTCGTCTCAAAGAGAGAGAGAGGGTTCATGGTGGTAGTAGTTGTAGCTGGACTACTATCCGCTAGCCGCTGTCCCAAAAACAGGAGAGTGGAAGCCAGTCTCACTAGCAGCATGGAGTTTCCTCAACCCTGAATCTGGACATGTTTGTGGGGATGTGCAGTGGAGAAAACTTCACTATTTCTGCACATCTCCACAAACACGTCCAGATTCAGGCGGTGAGGAAAGCTCGATGCCGCTAGTGGGACTTGGGCACACAGAATACACAGACGAAATCCAGACGGTGGACCGGAGGCTAGGTCCCAGGTCCCACTACCACAGATCATTGAATTCAAGACCTGAATTTGGACGTGTTTCAGGCCAGAATCATATAGACATAGACAACGGTGATTCAACTTCTCTGCATCTCCCCTTACAGCCAGATTCACGTTCTTAATCCGGTCCAAAATCAGTTTCAGTTTGCTAGTGGGGTCTGGCCCCGAGGGCTGCTCGGTGGGAAGGAGTACATAACACAAGCGGAGGAAAAATTCGGTAAGACAGAGAAGATAAAGAAACAGCACTACACGACGAAGGGGAACACCCCGCTAAACAAAGACAGCGTTAACAATGTGACAGGGACAAGGGCGGTGGCGGCGACCGGTCGTTTGCCCCGCGCGTTGACTTGTGAGCACAGTGTCTATAACCATATGGATAGAAAGCCTATCCTTCAAGGCTGCGACACCCCCCCTGCCAGGCCCCTCCTCAGCTGTGGGATAGCTATCTGGAGGAAAGTGCCCGAGCAAACATAACGTAGGTGCGTTGAGTGGGGGCTAGGGAGCGCGCCTTTGTGTGCTCTTACGCCCCGGCATCCTGGCAGCAGCCCCATATCGAACTAACCATTGATATCAAACATTTCAACCCTTCCATTATAAAACACACTTGGCCAAATTAGCAAAGAAGCATCTGGCCTATTCTCCGTTCAAATACATTCGTTAAAGCAGGAGGGGAGAGTGGGAAAACCATGCAGAGCTGGCGGTGGCGGCACTGCTGTGGGCAGCGCGGCAGAGTCCACTGCAACAGAGGTGGAGTCCGAGCTTCAACTTCGGCACGACTACTCTTCGGCAGCAGGAATGGAAGGGAGAAGTAGAGAAGTTCCCAGGAGTAGTGCCACTACGACGGAGGCAGTGGCAGTGTGAGTGCCACGGTTAAGTGGTGGAAGAGCGAGCACTATTCAGCAGGGACAGGAAGCTAACTTCCAACGTATCCATGGTGATCTGATCTGGGTCTGTTCACTGTAGATCTTATTGAAGATCCAAGGGTCCAAGGGTGCGTGGTGAGAATCCCGTCCGTCGAGACGGCTCAGGGTTCCTTTAGAGATCTGGAGTTTAAGGTCGTGATCAAAATGAGATTTGTGCTTGGGACTGGAGATCTGTTTGGGTTAACGTTGTGATGAGACTGTAGATCTGTTTGGGTTATTATTATTATTATTAACTTTTTTTTTGGGTTAACGTTGTGATCAAAAGGAAATTTACGAGGCTTCCTTGAGGATTATAGATCTGTTCGGGTTAAGGTCGACCAAAATGACATATCTGATGGGACGTTGGAGATGGGTTTGCATCCAGCAAAGCAGAAGCTGGATAATGGGCCCAGTACACTCCGGGGGCAAAGTCCCACTTGACGTGATTCTTCATTTCTGGCCGTTGATTTTCATGATCTACGGTCGGGAATGAACAATCCGGCTAAGTGGGACTTGGCCCCGGGTAGAACTGCGAGGTTGGTTGGTTCCCCGGTCTCAGCCAGGTTTTCAATGTTCAAATAAATTGTGTTTTACGACAACAAAAAAAAAAGAAAAGAAAGCACTACACTCACGTTTTTTCGTCTATAATTAATTCGGTTTAATGGAACAATACCAAAAACTAGGCACACATTCATTTTCTGATACCAAAAACTAGGCACACATTCATTTTCTGGCAGTTGTCTTTTTTAATGCAAACATGAACAGTCGAGGACAAACTAACGGAACCTCGCTGCAGTAGTGAATGAACATAGACTCGCCTGTGGACTGCATTCGGACTGATCGAACAATGTGAATGCATCGAGTTCATCAAGATCTCCAGGTACATCTAGAACGCATAGTGTGCAACGAACATAGACAAGCCGGCTCCGTGCGTCATTACGTCTCTAACGTCTTTTTTCTGTGTCTGTGTGTTTCCCAATTACGTCTTTCTTTTCGTCGAGAAATGGACACGTGTTCCATCCCAAACATCGATCGAAATCACTTTTCGGCATGAATGTACCAAGGACCAAGGACCACTTACCCGAATTATCAATTTCTGACGGCAGATTTCAAAGATAAGCAACCAGAAATGAAGGATCACCGTTAAGTGGGACTCGGGCCCAGAACGTACCTGACCGTACATGCTTCTCAGAGCGGTTAAAAAAAAAAACAAAAAAACAAAACAACAAAAAAAAACAAACAAACAAACATACATGCTTCTCTGTGGGGAAGTGTGCAATCTCCACTACTTTCTCTGGATATATCTGAGAACGGATTTGGTCGCTATATCTGAATGGATTTGGTCGCTTCTTTTCGTAAAATACACATCTTACCGTACCTGGTCGCTTTTCTTTTACCTCGAAGAATACATCTGAACATACTCTCGGTCACTTCTTTGCGTAGAATACGTCTGAACGTACTTGTTTTTTTCCTGTGCAGAAGACTGCCTTTTTTTTTCTCTTCTTTATGATTGGAAAATGGGAGAAGAATTCCGCTCTTCTATTACTAATTAGTGTTTAGTCAGCTTGGCATCTTCACATCATTTCCTCTCCCCGTACATTGCCGCCAATCTCCCTTCCCTCCCCATGCAGAGTGCCGCATCGTGGATATGGGCCCCGCTTCACTACTCTCCACATGCACGAAAGACAAAAATTATGGTGGTGTATATTTTCATGTACTAGCGAAAGATTCATTCTCAAAATATGGTGGTGTATCTTTCATGTACTAGCCAAAGATTCATTCTCAAAATATGTTGGTGTCTTTCCATGTACTAGCCAAAGACTCATTCTCAAAATGTGGTGGTGTATCTTTCCATGTACTAGCGAAAGATTCATTCTCAATTTGCACATTCGGCGAGCAGGGGAGCAAGGCGCTCTTCCTGAACGTACTTGTCGTGAGTAGAAAAGTGCATATTGAGAATGAATTATTTGCCAGTACCTGGAAAGATACACCACCATTATGCCGTTAATACGCAGCCGAGCCTTCGAACTTCATGAAAGACAGATCTTTCCTTAAACAAAAGAGCACAGAAAGTAAACACACCAAAAGAAAGAAAGAAAAGGAAAAAAAAACAAAAAAACAAAAACAAAAATATTTGTCTTCGCGTCAGCAAGCAACATGTGGACAACGACACATATAGACAGAGCGACACATATAGACAGAGATAAGGGAGGGAGGAGCACACATGGGTGGTAGCTTGGAGGAAAGCACATAAAAACTGCTCAGACGGGAGGGTAAGAGATCAAAGACAAATCGAAAGATGAAAGAATGATGCCGACTCCCGCCTAGTGCAAAACAGCAAAGCGCGCCAGAAAAAAAGACTCGCTCGATTTCTCAGTGTGGCCAAACAAGAAATGGCCACCGCAATATTCCTTATTCAATGCGCTGATCTGTAATGTAAAGATGATATAAACCATTAGAACGCACTTCTTCCCTCTCCACCAACCGTGCATGCACTATCCTCTGCGTAATAGTTCTCGAAGTAATGTCACCGGATAGCGCATCCTTTTCCGTTCTTAAAAAGGAAAAAGAAAAAAAAAAGCAGGTCAAACATTCCCATCCCGTTCTCTTTCCTACCTACCACCCCATCTTCGCGAATCGCCCTTCACCTCACCGCCTCATCCCACGCCACTTCCCTTCTTCCATCGATCCTACCAACAATTGCTCCTCTCTCTCTCTCTCTCTCTCTCTCTCTTCTTCCATCTATTCGTACCAACAATTGCTCCTCTCTCTCTCTCTCTCTCTCTCTCTCTTCTTCCATCTATTCGTACCAACAATTGCTCCTCTCTCTCTCTCTCTCTCCATCGATTCGTACCAACAATTGCTCCTCTCTCTCGCACACACACACACGCACACACAGACAAAACACACACACACGCACGCACACACACACACACACACACACACACACACACACACACACACACACACACACACAGAGATTTGCGATGCTGCAGCCCCTTTATCGTTGTGCATTTCAAAACACGATTTGTTGTGCGAATGCTAACAACTAGTGACGCCCCTAGATCTGTGAGAGATGGCATCACCCGTCTCATGTTTTCCACCTCGAGTTGGCATTCCATTCTACCATTGATCGCTTCTTGTTTCTTGACCCAAGGTCCCAATAACCGGTT